CTCCGGGCCTGGCCGCACCATCCCCGCCTGCTCCCCCGGGCCTGGCCGCTCCCAGCCTGGCAGCCGCTGCTCCGGGCCTGGCCGCACCAGCCCCGCCTGCTCCCCCGGGCCTTGCCGCTCCCAGCCTGGCAGCCGCTGCTCCGGGCCTGGCCGCACCATCCCCGCCTGCTCCCCCGGGCCTGGCCGCTCCCAGCCTGGCAGCCGCTGCTCCGGGCCTGGCCGCACCATCCCCGCCTGCTCCCCCGGGCCTGGCCGCTCCCAGCCTGGCAGCCGCTGCTCCGGGCCTGGCCGCACCCGACCCGCCTGCTCCCCCGGGCCTGGCCGCTCCCAGCCTGGCAGCCGCTGCTCCGGGCCTGGCCGCACCCGACCCGCCTGCTCCCCCGGGCCTGGCCGCTCCCAGCCTGGCAGCCGCTGCTCCGGGCCTGGCCGCACCAGCCCCGCCTGCTCCCCCGGTCCTGGCCGCTCCCAGCCTGGCAGCCGCTGCTCCGGGCCTGGCCGCACCAGCCCCGGCTGCTCCCCCGGGCCTGGCCGCTCCCAGCCTGGCAGCCGCTGCTCCGGGCCTGGCCGCACCTGACCCGGCTGCTCCCCCGGGCCTGGCCGCTCCCAGCCTGGCAGCCGCTGCTCCGGGCCTGGCCGCACCTGACCCGGCTGCTCCCCCGGGCCTGGCTGCTCCCAGCCTGGCAGCCGCTGCTCCGGGCCTGGCCGCACCTGACCCGGCTGCTCTGGGCCCGACTGCCCCGGGCCCGGCCGCTCCGAGCCTGGCCACTCCCGACCTGGATGCTCTGGGCTTGGCTACTGCTGTTTTGGGTCTGGCTGCTCCCACCCCGGCTGCTCTGGGCCCGGCTTCTCCGGGCCCGGCCACTCCGGGTCTGGGTGTTCCTGGACTGGCCACCCTGGGCTTGGCCGCCTCCGCCTCATGCCTGGCTGCCACTGCCCCAGGTCTGGCTACTCCAGTGCTGGCTGTTGATGCTCTGGTTCTGGCTGCTGTTGTTCTGGAGCCTGGCCGTTGCTGCTCCGGGTCTGGCTGCCACTGCCTTGTGCCTGGCCACTCTAGGCCTGGCCACCGCTGTTCCAACATTCTGTCCTTTTTTTTTTTTTCTTTTTTCTTTTTAAAACGCATTTATGTTGCAATGTTGGCTGGTGAGTTGAGTTCTGACTTAGTCTTTGATTTTTCAAGATCTTCTTTGTATTCTTTCTTAAGTAATTTTACTATTTTTTGCTCTCACTTGATTTCTTCACATTGAGAACTTCTTTGGTTTCTTCCTCCTTGTCCTGGGAGCTCAGCAGGTTGGCCTGTGGCACCCCTTTGTTCTCCGCGGGCTCCTGCGCTGCTTCAGCCTGTTGTCAGGGACGGCGCCGCCCAGGAAGCAGCCCCTGGCCTTGGCTCCATTGCCAAAGGCTCAGGGGCACCCACGCCCCCAGGGGTCCCGAGCCCGCCTCCTTGCTGCTGCCCGGTTGGCTGGAGTCCGGCAGGGGCTTCCACTCCCCTCCGTGTTCCCCCAGCCTAGAGCTTTTTTTTTTTTCTCCTTCCCGCTAGAGAAATCCAGCATCAGAGTCAACAGACTGTCCTCTGCGCGCAGTTTGCGCGAGTCCCACAGACTGTCCTCTGCGCGCAGTTTGCGCGAGTCCTGGGGGCCCGGCCTTTCGCGCTCTCCCCAGACCCCACCTCACAGCCCCATCTCCCTCTGCCTGAGCCTGGGTCCCCAGGGATTAGCCCAGAACTGGGGTTCGGAGCAGTCCGGACTGAGGCTCAGCGCCGCCGGAGGCCTTGTTTCTTCCGGCTAGGGTAACCCAGCCTCAGAGTCAACATTCAGTCCTCTGTGCGCATTGCGCGCGACTCCCGGGGCCCTGCTTTTCGCCGTTTTCCGCCTCACAGCCCCGTCTCCTCCCGAGGGAGCCTGGGTCCCCAGGGTCTGGCCCATAACTGGGGCTCAGCGCTGCCGGGTTCGGGGGGGGTTCAGCACTGCCGGTTCGGGGGTTCAGCCCAGGCTGGGGGTTTTATTTCCTTCCTGCTAGGGAAGGAAAGGCGGCTCCCCGCCCTCTCCTCCTCTCCGGCTGCGACCTCTCCAAGCGTGCGTGCGGGCGGACGCGCGCGCAGCATGTCTCCGTACCTTAGGCTTTTTTTCAGCTCCTCTGATTTTCTTTCTGGTTTTCTCTTTCCTTCTTGTTGTAGAAATTTCAGTCAGTCGACTACCTGTAGCTCTGGGCAATGTCCACTCTACATTTTAGTTGTATTCCATTGAAATTGTTGTGTGCTGCCGCGGCTAGATGTCTACCCAAGCAGCCATCTTGGATCCTCTCTGAGTCTGCCTCTTGAATGTGTCCCTTATGAGAGTAGTTGAAATCAGATGGTGTCTCACACAGACCACTAGATACACTGGCTTCTGGATCCCAATGGGGTGCAGGTCAGCTACTGTCTGAGGCCAACCAGCAGGAGCTACAGCGAGAACTACAGTTTTCTCCTCTTTGCTTGGGATTTGGAGGTTTTGGAGCTGTCTGACTAGAGCTGTAGTTTATTTGGCTAAGCTGCAACAGGGCAGACCATTTATATGCAAAAGCTGTTGCACAGAGCTTGGGTGTGCTTGTAGATTGTGCAGGATGGTGTCTCAGATTCTCACTAGGCTAGGGCGTGTCAAACAGCGATGGCTACAAGTCAGCCTTCTCTGCCTTTCCGTGTTTTCAAGTCCCCGAATGCTGCGCAGTAAAACAATGATTACTGGGCACAGCTCTCAGCTTTTCAGCACTAGTGCTCTTTTCTCTTTCCTTCTAGTTGTAGAACTTCCACTCAGCCAGATTTCCCATGGTTCATTTGCAAAAAAGTACTAGGTAGTATGTCATGGGTAGCTACAGGATCTTCTGGTCATGGAAATTAGGAGCCTCTGCCTTCTGCAGCTACTGTGTGCTCTTATCTTTCCTTCTAGTTGTAGAATTTCCTCTCAGCCAGCCTTCCTATGGTTCTGGATGATGTCCGTTTTGTCTTTTAGTTGTATTATTAGTTTTGAAATTGTTGTGCAAAGCAACAGTTCAGGTGTTTACTTATGCCGCCATCTTGGTTTCTCTCTCTAGGTTATTTTGTCTTAAGTTTTTGTTGTAATTTAGTGCTTTAGGGTTAACTGCTAAAGATCTGCCCATGCTGAAGGTTGGGAAGTCCAAGAGAAATGTGTCAGCCAAAGGTTTCAGCCCAAGGCTTCTTCTCTTGGCTTGTAGATTGCCACCATTTTGTTTTGTGTGTTTCCCCCTAAGGAATAGGGAGGGGCAGAGAGGCTCCATAGTCTTTTAGTTCAGTGTTGAAGGCATCATTCTGGCGCATACAAACCCGAGTAGGATTCTGCACCAAGGGAGAAAGCCAATATAAAGACAGGAGTTGCTCATTTCCCGAGGAAGCGAGAGGCTCCAACCCTCAGCATGGCTGTCATTTGAGAGAGAAGAAACAAGGTGCTGACCGGGATGTGGCAAGCACAGGGCCCTCTAGCACTGCCACCTGCCCAGCAATTCCCCATGCAGGCAGCTACCCAGGACCTGGGAAGCATTCATGCAGCCATGTTCCCAGTGGCACAGCCCTGACTCCTGTGACAGCTGATGCCCATTGGAGAACTTAGAGGACATGTGCTCAGTGAGAACCTGTCACCAAAGGACAAATGCTGTGTGATTCCAGCTGGGCGAAGGGCTCCGAGAGTCAGATTCAGAGGCAGGCCGTGGGCAGCAGGGCCAGGGACTGTGCAGTTAATTACCAGATCCTGCCTGCTCACCCCTCTGACACATAGTTCAAGACCCTGACCTACGGAACATAATGTCAAATAAAGATCACAGTGGAAGTCACGGCCTCTGACTCGGGGACCACTTCCAGACCACGCCCTGACCCCTCCGGAGCTGTGTCCTTGTGCTCCCTGACTGCCACATACCCAGCCCAACCCCCAGCAGCTGGAGAGAAAACACTGGCTGCTCTTTTTGTTGTTGTTGTTGTTAATTCTCACCTTAGGATTTTTTAGACAGAGTGGGAGGGAGGAGGGGCAGGGAGAGAGAGGGAAAGAGGTGGATTTAAGTGAGAGAGAGAGACATGTTGATTGGTTGCCTCTCACAGGCTCTAACTGAGCCCAGGGATCGAAACTGCAACTCAGGTGCATGCCCTCGACTGGGAATTGAACCCATGACCCTTCGGTCTGCAGGCCACACTGGCCTTTCTGAGTCACACACAGGCCCAGGCACACTGCAGGAGTTCTAAGCTGATGGCCTTCAGTGCTTCTCCACGGACCACAGGCCTGGCACCCACCTCCCCACCTGCTGCACCCACTAGCTCTGCTCACCCACTGGGTGCCTCATGCTGAGTGTGGTCCTGGACTCTGCAGGGCTCCCCTGAGTGCTGTCTCACCCCAGACACCTGCCCTTGCTGGCACTGGCGCTCCCACAGGCCCACTTCCTGCAGTACAGAGGCCGGCACACAGAGCGCCGGGCATGTCCCACAAGGGAATGAGGACACAAAGCCAAGCCCATTGCATGGAGGTGACAGGATACGAAAAGAACGGAAACGGCACTGACCCCAACGTGTGTGAGGTGTGCCAGGCGAGGAGTGGGGGTGAAGGAGGACCTGTGTGGGCGATGCCTTTGCAACGTGAGTCCACCCAACACCAAGCTTATTCACCACGCAGCTGCGCTCACACTGGCAAAGCCACTGACCTTTGAGGCTTGAATCGGAAGTCACGTCACAACGAAGATTCAGAGAAAACATTGCAAAACAACCATGTTATTCTTAAGACACAACCGCTAGATTCAGAAGACTATGGATCAACATAGTAACAGCCAAATGCCTCTTCCCTGGAGACACATTTGTCTGAATACCAAACGAAACTCAGAGAAGCCCTGAGGTGACCTGAAATCTAACTAACAGAATGAGGGACGGTAATGCATGTGACTGGAAGTCCTCCGGCCACTGGACCTGCCTGCGTGAACCCTGGGCATGCTGGCTCCTGCCCAACAGAGCAGAAGCCTCCGGCCCGCCGTACCTGGGCCTCCCCGAGGTCGTTGTTCACCACGGTGAAGTTCAGCCCCAGCTCCTCCACGTCGCCCCCGTAGCTCTTGAGGAACAGCAGGTTTCGGTAAACCTCCGGGTCCAGGGAGGCCAGGTGGTGGATGTCCACGTCGGCGCTGGTGCCCAGCAGCTTGGACAGGAAGAAGCCCGCAAAGGGCAGCTCCACCAGCATGTTTTCGTAGAGAGCCTGCAATGGGACGAGGGACAACAGTCAGCTTCACGGGTTCTAAAACAAACACGCATGTCCAACTGCTATGTAACAGGCTCCTAAGACACGCTACTTGGTGAGCGGTTAATTTACCAGGGGCCAGCCCACATTCCAAGCATTCAATGCCTGCATTCAGTACGTCAAAAATTCTAGAACGGACCATCAAAGAACCTTAAGGCTGAAATCACAGAATGTTAATACCAATGGGGAGCTTTAAATTTTTAATTCTCACCCAAGTATATGTTTATTGATTTTAGAGAGGAAGGGAGAGGGAGCGAGAAGCATCAATCTGTTGCCTCCAGTACGTTGCATGACAGGATGGAATCTGAAACCTAGGTATGTGTCCTGACGGGAAATGGAACCTGCACCTGTTTTAGTGTATGGGACACTGCTCCAACCGAACCCCGGCTGATGTGGCTCAGCTGGTTGGGTATCATTCCTGCCCCAAAGGGTTGTAGGGGGTGTGCACAGCAGGCAGCCCACCGGTGCTTTGCTCTCAGATAATGTTCCTCTCTCTCGCTAAAAAAAAAGAAAAAAAGAAGAGCCAAACTCCCCTGCCGCCAGGGGCTGGCGAGCGTTTCTGGAAAGGGTTCTGCAGGGGTGCTGCTCCCCTAAGGTTGCCACAACGAAGCACCACAAACAGCAGAAAGGGCCTGCCCACAGGTCTGGAGGCCAGAAGCCCACAGCCAAGGGTCTCAGGGCCACCCTGGTCCCTCTCCCGCCTCTCCCAGCTTCTGGGGTTGCCGGTATCCTCAGCGAAGCCGGGCTAGTAGCTGCCCATCCATCTCTGCCTCTCTCTCCCCAGGGCTGTGTTTGGATCCTCCATCCCACCCCCACCCCCTGCTCTTGCAAAGGCGCCAGGCACCTCATCTGAGCTTGACTACACAGTGAGGTCACCTTCACAGGTACAGGGGTTAGGGCTTGAGTTTTTCTTTCGGGGGAGAGGAGGCACAATTCAACTGTCTCACCTCCCTTCACCCCCATGCCTTTGGAGCACAGAGGGGCACGGTGTGAGGACGAGGGAGGGCACCTGGGCACTGAGGCTGGAGTCATGTAACTTCCCACTGAACACTATTCTTCATGAGATTTGTTTCTCAGCCACCGAATGGAGAGGCTCTCTCAGCACACCACATGAGCAGGGGGCAGGCTGAGTGGCCAGGCTGTCCTTGCCCGCCTGTCTCAGGTGAAGGAGCCAGGCCCTAGGACTGGGGACTGTCCAAATGGTATGAGTTAATAGGTGGCAAAACTGGTACCAAAACTCACCTCCCCTGATGCCAGACCTATGAGGTTTTCACTCTTAAGTTACTGTCCACCTTTACGTCTAAGGATTAAAGGTGAAATTGTTTTTGCATCTATTTATAGTCAAGTATATTACATATAGTAAAAAGTACAACTGAAGACAGCTGTGTAAAGACCTCTCCGACCGAGATACAGAACATCCCCACACCTCCCACACACGAGCCCCTCACTCTCCAGGCAACACCCCCAGGCCCAGCCCATCCTGTCCTTGCCACAGGCGAGTTTTGCCGGTTGCAGAGCTTCATAACCGGGACTTCCCAGCACTTGTTTCAGGCCCGTCTTCTCAGGCACAGTTTTCACCTGGCCCGGCCTGTGGCTGCCCTGCGGTGGCCGGAATGAACGAAACTCTGTGACAGCCAACACGGCCTCCGTGGGCCTCTGCTCTCACGTCTCCTTAGTTTGCATCTAAGAGAAGGTCTGTGGACGGGGAAGTACTGGGTCACAGGCTGTTTTTGGAAAATGCAAGGAGTGTGTCCCCACGACGTAAACGTGGGAAGGCGGCATCCAGTCCCTCCTCCCGTGGCCAGCACAGTGCTCGCTGGCTTTCCCTGGCCTGGCGGCGCGGGTCTCACTGTGGCGTGATCTGTCCCCCTGGTGGCTTGTGGTTCTGGGTGACATTACATGTGGTCCTCTCGCACAGCAGGTGGAAGGAGGGTGCTGCAAGTTCTCCTGTGCAGCGCCAGGTCCCCTGGCACGGTGACTGCTCCTGTGCCCACGGCTGCAGAGTGCGAGGAACCAGCAACATCACCATCTCCAGACATTCTCATTATTCCCTTGGAAAGAGGACTGACTGGGGAGCCACAGCAGTGCCTGTAGGTGCCAGGCTGCCTCGCTGCACTTGCTGACCCACAGGCTCCCAGGTTCCTCAACAAAGACCTTTATTTGGAGTGGGGGAGTATGGGGGAGGAAGGATACGAATTCACCACGATCCTCTAATACCCCACCTGCCAGCTGAGAGAAGGTGAGGGGGTCCTACCCCACGTGGTCAACGGGGCTCTGTACTCAGGCAATCATGAACTCTGTTTGGGGGGCAGTTGTGACCCTTGCCTGAGACGGAGTGACCCCAGGACAGACAGAGAGGGTGGGGGGTGCCCGAGCCCCACCTTAGAAAGGATGGCGTGAGGTCTGCTGAGTGGGGTTGTGGCGATGTATGCACACTTCAGGCCGCTGCTTTAAGATGGATGCTGCTGCACTGCACACAGAATCCAACATTACAACCAGCACTTCGCCATGAAAACGTGACTAAGTCAGAAGTCACTCTTCCCTTCCACACACACGAAAAGAAACACGAGTTCATTGAGGCCGACATGTATGAACTCACTAATGCGGCTGCAGCGTGGGCTCCTCCAACCTTCAGCGTCCATCTGGGTCCGAGTGAGCTGTGACCTCAGCCAGCTCCCACACAGGCACGGTAGGCAGCTGTCGATAAAGTTACCCAATTCCCCCTGACCCGGGGCTGCTCTCATGGACCAGGACCTGCGTGTCCGCCTCCCGCTAGCAGGACTGCGAGACCCTGAACTGGCGGGCGAATGTCCCCCTAGAGCAGTGGGCGGCAAACTCATTAGTCCACAGAGCCAAATATCAACCGCACAACGATGGAAATTTCTTTTGAGAGCCAAATTTTTAAAACTTAAACTTCTTCTAACGCCACTTCTTCAACATAGACTCGCCCAGGCCGTGGTATTTTGTGGAAGAGCCACACTCAAGGGGCCAAAGAGCCGCATGTGGCTCACGAGCTGTAGTTTTTCCTAGAGTAACACCGCTTCTGGTAGCAGACAGGCTATGGCCAAGGAGCTCCGACACATCTGTCAGTTCCGGACTCCACACTGCCCCTCCGCTGGGACTTGTATTTCTGATCCTAAGACTATGGATGGCCACAAGGCGGCAGAGTGGTTCTCTGGGGGAAGCCGTCTGCTGAGCGCGTGGCTCAGACAAACCCGCAGCACTCCCAGGCCCCACAGCCAGGCCACAGCCGCAGAGCAATGGAGACCACTCTGCAGGGACGAGCTTGTCCCCGGGCTGAGGAAAGCCTCATCTGTACCAGGGACTGGAAGTAGCTGCAGGTGTAAATCATCAGCCGGTCAATACATAAGGTCATTGTTTGCCATTTCTGCATTAGTAACAATAAGCCAGTGAAATTCATTAAACACATTCGAGCTACCTGAATGTTAAACAGAATCCCACTGTGACTCATAAAATGTAAATGCTTAGGTGTAATTTTTTACAGAAGGCAGCTTTAAACCTTCAGAGCATTTAATATACAAGCACTAATAAATGATAGTACTAAAAACTATGATTGCATCAGCTAAATGGATTATAAATTAAATTTCCATAATGTATGCAACCAATACAAATGTAAGCATAAATCAAGGTATTTTCTAAACACAGGTTAATTATACAACTTCAAAAACTGTCTATTTTTTATGCAAAGAATCCACTTAGCATTTTTCATCTTGGCCTTCACGGCAGCCAGCTGACCAGGCTGGCTCCCCGGCCATCAATAACCACCTGCCTTGGGGAGTAGTGGTAGGTATGGGGAAAAGCCTGGAACGGATTTTTCAACCGTCTGTCTTTTATGAGTGTTTATAGCTAGAAATTGTGCCAAAATGATCTGAAATGAAAAGGATTAATTATCATAGAAGCCTTTTAATATAAGTGAGTGCAGTCGAGTAGAATTAATGCAAACTGTGGCACCATCAGGCGAGCAGAAGCGAACCTCACCATTGGCATTTCTGTTTGCTGCCAAATAATGCTGGTAATTTACTACATTAAGAATCAATAAAAAAATAATGCTTTTCAAATGCATCTTTATCAATTGTCAGGTGGTTCTAAAGTGAACATTTATAACTTAATCTACAAACTATATCAGAGATGTCTTTTTTAAAGGCCCCCTCATTGAGCAAGAAGAAAACCATTTCAGACCATGCTGCCCTTTGAATGTGCAAGAGAAAGAAACGCACAGTAAGGAGGCTTGGGGACAGGGTGCTGCTAGAGTGCCCGACCGGACAGCAGCTCCTGGAGGAGGAGCTGCCCGCTCTAAGGAGGAGTCTGCGGACAGCACCCGGCGCCCACTTCACACCTGGGCTGCAGCCTAGAGTAACACTGAAGTTACTCTAGGCTGCAGCCACGAACTTGTTTGCAAAAGAACCTGAGTTCTCCTGGGAGACATTTCAGGTTATGAAAACTTCCTGTCTGGATTCACTGCGGCCTCCAAAATCCAGCTCCAGAGCCACCCAGGGTCCACCCTTTAACCCCGGCCGCCTAGCCTGCATTTCGTTATGCCGTGTAAAGACAGCGCTGCTCCCACAGTGCACGTGCGAAAGCACCCAGGACCGAGGGGGAGAGGGAACAGAATGGGGGGCCCAGGCCACACCCTCTGCCCTCTCTGCCCTGACAAACCAGACCCCGCCACACTCGGGCACTCTAGTGTCTCTTTAACATGGACAGAGTTTCCACTGGTCTCACGGGCGGGTCCAGGTGTTCACTTGTGGGACAGGCTCCTCTGGAGGCCCTGAGGCACCTGGGAAGCTGGCGCTGCCTCCCAGAAGGCTTGCTTCTCCCAAAAGGCACCAAGCGCCTTTTGCTTCTCCCAAAAGGCACCAGCAGCTCGGTGGGCGGCGGGCTCGTTGGCACCGCCTGCTCCCCTGCAGGGAGGCTCCAGGACGAGGGCTAGCCCTGGT